CCCGTGAAATTCAGATTTTGCTCAGTAACACTTAGTTGATGAGTTGTTAATAAGTATAGTTCCTCTAATGACTCTGACACAGCACTGTGAGGGAGATAATGACGAGTTACTGGAGACTGGGAGATACTGTATTAATGAATCATGAGGTAATAATCAGTTCATAAATATCACAAATTTCTTCATGAGTCGTTCCTCATTAACTCTGAACCCCCCGCTGAGCAACACACAGCACTGATTTGTGCACTCTACAGTTAAGTGATCCTGCCTACTGAGTAACTACCAGTAGTTCCTCATTACTGACTTGTTTCCATAGTAACAATACACTATTTTGTGTACCACACTGTTAAGTGTTATTAGCTCAGTAGTTTTTCCAACTGGTGAGCACGAGAGAAATGATCTACTTGATGACACCTGCTCCACAGTCTGCAGTCTGTCAGTAGCTGCAGACTGTGGAGTGAGATATTGTTTTCAGGTTGTCCGTACGTCCCATCCTCATGGACATGATATCTCAGTAACGCTTTGACAGAACTTCTTCAAATTTGGTACAAATGTTCGCCTGGACTCAAACTCGAATTTGGTGGTCAAAGGTCAAAGGTCAAGGTCAGTGTGACCTCACAAAACACTTGCCATTACTCAAGACTTCACAGCAATTATGACAAAATTTCACACAAATGTTTAATATTTCCTCTGACTCTGGATAAACAGGGATGTAACCCGAAACTAGTCTGAGTGGAGGAGGCATACAACCACCAGGAGGTGATTCTAGTTTTTCAGTGAAAATGCAAAAGTTACCATTCCAACTGAAATGACTGACTTGCATCGCGATATCTGCCAAAATAATCACAATAGGATTTTTGCATATCATTCAGCCCTATTACACCAAGATGAAGGGAGTTACCACAGGCCAGAAAGTCTATTTTTATTTTATTTATAGTAAAATACCAGCAGCTGTGGGCTTTTTTTGCAACTGTAAATTTCATAGTTGAGAACTTTTGTTCGTTTACTGTAAACTACTATTAAAAAAACAGATATAATATAAACCTATTTACGGTAAACCACTGTAAAAACAGATTAACTGTAAACCTTATTACAGTCTGTCTCATTGATATGGACACATGCTGATCTCAACAGCAGCTTTGTGAGTTTAGTGGACAAGTAATTTGGTCATTTTGATCTGTTTTTCAGAGAATGTAAAAAAGAAAAAACAGTTTCTTAAAGCTGATAATTGACAGTGGGCTTTGTTGTTATTTCCTGTAATCAGTCCAGATGGACTCAACATGGACCAAGTCTCAAGATGCATTCTCACCAGTTCAGCTTGAGGACTCACATGTCGTCCATCAGGTGTTCACCTTCTTCGGACACAAAGCAGAAGTGAGAGCATGATCATAAACTCACAGGCTTCTTTTGTTAAACTGAGCTCCAATGAACTTCACATAGAAGAACGCAGCACTCTGGAGTGTAGTTCTGCAGGTCACTTTGATAATCAAGTTTTTTCTCCTCTTCTTGGTCTCCTCTGTCCACCACAGGATTACAGTCACTCCACAGGAAAGGTGGACGCAAACATGCATTTGTTTTCCTGAAAGTGGATCCTGAGAACCATCAGTTGAATATCTGCAATGAGCAGCCACTTATTCGATTTACATTGATTAACTGGAAGCTTTATAATGCATCAGATCAACCTGAAGCTCAGGGAGATGACACAGATCCTATCACACCGTCTACTTCTACATAAATATCTCTCTCTCTAATATGACTAAAGAAACTTTCCCAGGACTCATGTAAGACACACCTGGCTCAGAAGCAGTACATGAAACTGCTTCATTTGAAACAATAAATGAATCCCTGATGGGTACTCTCCTATTTCCACCAGAGGAGCAGGGATGGCAGTTCTCAAAGCTCCACGACACACTGGTCTGAATCCAGTTTACTGAGGTCATAATCACCTGCTGATTCAACAACACACCCATAATCTAAGATTGATATGAATCTGCTCTGCTTCCACAAACTCACGACATTCTCCAGAAGATGCCAAATGATTTTTTGATAACAAACCTACACTTTCCCCTGCAAGACAGCACTATGATGTCCAAGTCTTTGGCATTTCAAGCACAGCAGAGGTGGTCTTTGATAATTCTTCACTTGCAGGGTTTCCCACACATAGACTTTACTTGGGAGAGCCGCCCAAGTTTATCTGCGCCCTTTTTTTGACATTTCATTTGTATGTTTTTTAATCGGTCAGAATGACACTCTCCGTGATGCATTAATTATTCTGTACTCACTCCCCTGTACCGCTTCGTTCTGCTAACGTGCAAAGACAAATAGAGAGAAAGAGGGAGATGCATGGTATTATGTTAGAAGACATGGACATGGTGGATATTGAACCAACAAGTCAGTGCTCACTTCCAGTGGCTGGTCAGTGAAGCTGCTGCAGGTAATGAGACAGCTGAGGGAGAGGCAGGAGTAGCAGGTCACAGTGTGGCAAAAGCAATATGTCACTGAAGAATATTAAATAAATGCAAATGTTGTTTTAACATTCACACGTGTTTGTTGTTGATCACTACATCAATGACCCACCACTCTGTGGGAAACTCTGACTTGATAAGATAAACAACCAATAAATACTCTTTCTGGGAGTACCTCACCAACAATCGTTTAACACAGGCATGTCCAAAGTCCGGCCCGTGGGCCGATCGTGGCCCGCTGACTGATTTTAAACGGCTTGCCTCTCAAAATATACAATATGTGGCCTGCCACACAGTATTGATTAATGAATCAAGTTCACAATGCATTTTTTCCCATTCACCTGGAGCCAATGTTTTCACAAACAGACTGTAAACAGGCAACAGTGATTTGCCGCTAGGTAGCAGTCATGGCCTCAGCAAAGAAGCGTAAAGCCGACGACGAGGGCCGCTGCTTTCAGGAGCGGTGGAAAGTTGAAAACTTTTTCACTGAAAGTCAAAACTGTTGAGTTTGTCTCATTTGCCAAGAGACCGTCGCTGTTATGAAAGAGTTCAATGTGAAGGGACATTACGAGACTAGGCACAAGTCATACCAGCGACTGTCCTGCAGGGAGCAGGTGGAGAAAGTGAAACATGCTACCTAGCCTCCCAGCAGTGGCTTTTCACAGCGCATGGTCCCCACTTAGTTTCACATTATGAAATCTGGCCCCCATTCAAAATACTTTGGACACTCCTGGCTTATCTTTTATTTTTCCTTTAATTCCCTCTCTGACATGTCACCATAAACGCCATAAGAGACACCTTCAACCATGATCTTTCACTCTAAATTCCTAAACTTTTCCTATTCTCTTGACTTTTCCTAGTTGCACACCACCAGGATTTATCCATTTCTGGAAATTTGTGCATCCAGTCCTTCACCAACTGATTGAAGTGATTCAGCTACTTTCAAAGGGTTTACTGCTACCCTGCTGCAACCTGATCCTTGATTTTATACACAATTTTAAAATCAGTTGCAGCTTTCATGACCTTATTTCCAGTTTTCTGTACTGCTGTATCTTCCCTGTCATCCTCTCTCTGGATCTATCTCCAGCTCTCTGCCCTCCTCATATTAACCCTCCATCCCCACTTGTGGCCAAAGCCATGCACCAGCGAAGAAAAAAGACCAGAAGATCAAAGGAGGAAAAGAAAAAAGAGGCTCTCCACTGAGAAGTTTGAGACTTGAAACTCCTTACACACACTAGAGATTCTAAATCAAGCTGATTTCAAGAGTGACCCACTGGTTACCACTGGTTACCACTGGTTACTGGTTAAGTCCACAGTCTTTAATCCAACATCAAAAGTCGATTAATTCATTCTAACCAATGCAACAATGCTCAGCAAACATTCTAACAAGAGTTTCTGCCCTGACCTTACGTTAGCTGCTGTAACTGTAATCCATCATTTAGATAGAATTATATTGTAAATTTTAGGATAGATAACTAGATTGTGGTATTTTCCCTATAATTTTACCAAAATTTTATATTTCCACAGTAAAATTGTGTTTTTATTCCTCCACGACAGCGACAGTCAGAGCCAGAGGCATATTGTTTTCAGGTTGTTTGTCCGTCTGTCCCAATGTCATGGACACAATGTCTCAGTAACACCTTGATGGAACTTTTTCAAATTTGGCACAAACATTCACTCAAGGACAAATTGACTAGATTTAGTTGGTGAAAAGTCAAAGGTCAAGGTCAGTGTGATCACAAAACACTTTTTAGCCATTACCCAAGATTTCACAGCAATTATGACATTTCACACAAATGGTTCATATTTGATATGACTCTGGATAAACAGGGAGTGGAGACAATATGTAGTTTCTACATATTATGACAGTAGAAATTGATGTTATACTGTTCCTTGATTTAGGGTATTTCAATATATCTACTATATATATCTATTATACAGTGATACACTATTTTGAATTTTATGGTGATCTGGTGCTTGTTGTTTTATATTAGTGTTTATAAATTGTGTGTATATATTGTTGTTTGATATTATGTTCAGTACTTTCCTGTATGTATTTTATGCTTGAGTTTTACGTTTTTTTAAAGGCATTGGAAATTAGCTTTGTCTTAAACATGCTGTGGTATGTGGCATTGGTTAATGTGTAGTTGTCCCTATACAAACATACAGTATGAGAGCTGTCAGAAACCATGGCCTTACCTAAGAGAGCAAACACTATGGAGTGATGTTTGTGGAGAAGAGCCTGGTGATATACTTTTCACACAGATAATATGTACATCATAGACTTTCAATACTGTAGAAGTGTAAACCAGTTAACAATTTACATACAAACTACAATAAAATGGTTCCAGAGGATGCTGGTGTTTCCTGATGTCACTGTGTCTTTCTACACCTGATGATACCTGATGACTTTGTCTCCAGTGCATAGCTTTAAGCACTACAGTGACAGAAAATGGAAATGGTTTCCCATTATTGTTTTACCAGTTCTTCCTGTACACTGTGGAGCTGATCATGTGACCTTTATTTGACCTCTGATAGGAAACCTGTTGCCAGGGGACCAGATCCTGGAGGTGAACGGGGACAGTCTAGTAGGAGTCACAAGTGAAAGGTGAAAATCTTGTAAAATCACATTTATCTCAGTTTTGTTTGAAGCCTATGATTGAGTGAGGTGATGCTCCAACAACAATGTGAATGTGTTTTTGTGTTTGTTTCACAGAGCTGTGGATATCCTGAGAGCAGCCTCTGCAACCAATCACATGCGCCTTCTCATAGCCAGAGATGAGGAAGCAAAGTAAGCAGATGTCTATGTCTACATAGAAACAAACACCAATGCTAACTCTTGCCTCTATCTCGTCTTTATATTTTACTGAAGTTAGCATGGTAACAACTAGCCCCGTTCCGTCTCCTCACTTTCTGATAGCGACTCACTGTGTCCAGTCTGTCCTCAAGACGTAGCTGCTCAGAGGACGTATTATAACCTCTTATCTTGTAAACTTAATGATGGCTGCAGCTCCTGTCAGGAGACAATCACCACCACCCGCTCCCAGCAAGAAACTATGTTCAGCAGCAGAGCTGCAAAACTTACAAATAGCTTTAAGTCACACCCTTCATGCACGTCATCATTTATTCAATAAGTCTGTTTTCATTGATACATCAATCATCAACCTCAGACAGGCCTAAAAGCTTTTCTGTGGTTTTTCAGCTTTGTGTTGAATATCTGTTGTTTCTACTCAGTTTCTTTATGTGCAAACTGAGAATGCATAAAAAAATAGCTGGATGACACACTTAGGAACTATTCTTTCACAACATTATGTTACAAGATGCCGTTCTGTTTCTACCTGTCCGTTATCATCATGACATCTGAGGTCCAGCTACATCTTGACCAAACATAACAAGCTCATAATCAGCTATTTGTTTTTGAGTTCATTGTGAAACCAGAGAGGATGAACACATCAGTGAGGGTTAGAGCATCATGTCAGTCACCTGAACTTGATTTCCCCCCATGACACAGTTAAGGTGCAGGAAAACATCACTGTCTAATGAATGATGTACATGTCAGTCCATATGACTAAGAGCCTAATTTGTAATCAGTCAGTGTGAATACAAAACAGACCAGGACTAACAGGAAACAAGGCTGTTTTTTCTCTTCATTGTCATGGGGCCATAGATTTTACAACGGGCAGCTTTTAGGAGAGATTTATTCAGGACAAAAGCAATATACTGGAAATGTAGAATGATGAAGAGCTGACTGAGAGGTTTGATTCTGTAGGAGAGATGTATGTGAACTTGTTGAAGATGAGCTGTCACAATGCAGCCTTGTCACCCATGTTGCAGCTGTTAATTGCACTTTGTTTTCACACAAACAGCTCCTTTAAAACATTGACAGACATGATTGACGTTCACAAGTCCACAGTCTGTCATTTTAGACCTAAAATTGTCTTCAGATTTAAGCTGAATATCTGAACATATACTGTATGAGCTTTGTGTGGTGGTCTGTGTTTCAGCACCATGGACAGCATCATGGGCTGAAGGGGGCAGAAACAGAGACAGACTCTATCCATGGTGCTGACACTGACAGATCACTGACCAAGACATACATAAACCTGTTCTAGGACTTTATTCCATTAACCCTTTGCCTTTATATCCTCACCTCATGATAACTGTAAATACGACAGAGGCAAAGAAAAAGAAAATTAGACTGAGTAAATAAACAATAAACATTCCAACAAACAAACAAACTCACAACTTAGTCAGAAATTTACACAAAATCAGAAATTATACAGATAGCAAAGATTGTTAACAACATATCATCAGCAGCACACTGCTAGGCAATAGCAAAGAGAGTCTATAACAAACGATGATGCATTACAAGCAGCGCCAATGTTAAGAAATGGTATACACTTCCTGTTTCCTGGGTGGGTGTGGTCGTGATTGATTGTTCGTGAAAACATAACAACAACACAATACAACACTTGATACACTTTGAATTTGCACCTGATTTTACTGCTGATCAACCCAGCACAAGATCATATCAGTCTCATACTCTCTGTTTTCCCTCCAAAAACACTTCAAAAATAATAACAATAATAGTGTTATAAAGAAAAGTTTGAACTTTGAATACATGGTTTTACCTTTAGGTCGCTCTAAACTTCTGCAGCAGTGAAGCCAGAACCAACAGAGAGAAGAGATCTGTGCTGTGAGATCTCAGAGTTTGTTGCTGAGACAGAGACAGGTCTCCAATAAAGTTCATTTTCTCCTGATTTGTCTGAAAAATGTCATTTTAATGTCAGAATGTCCTGAAGATTTGTGGCTTGTGAAAAATTGATCCAATATTTATTTCAGTGATTATGAGGCTAAAGAATCATAATCTTCTCCCATTGGAGTGAAGAGACTCAGACCTGCTGCTGGTCTCCCAAAGGGGCAGGAGGTGGAGAAACCCACCTGACACAGATACAGAAAATTACTGTAGATGCACTATCTCCTTTTTCAAATGTCTCTGGCAATAGCCATAGACATGTGGCCACATGATCGTGCATCGCTAAGACAGGGCGTGGTTAAGATGAGGCTGAAGCTTGGTTGGAGCAACCGATGTAAAGTCTATTCTAAAGACTGGTCTTTACAAAGACTGATTTAGAAGTTAGGACCAGGCTTAGTAAAGGACCAGTTGGTGAAACTGGACCCTGCAGGCTGCCAGACCTTCAATAATGAATCCAGTTTTCTGATGAAGTGCAAAGTGCTTCCAAAACCAGAGTAAATTAGTGCTCAAATACTGGCCTCAGTGATGGCAGACACTGGAGAATCAGTGTTCAGCTTTCTAATCGTACCACAACCAGTCTGGGTAGAAACCAGGTCAGTGCCAGCTGTCAGCATCACAGGCCTTGCCTCCCCTGTAAATCCACTTCAGACAAAATGAACCTGTAACAGTAAGTTGACAAAGGTGGTGGTGGATCTGCATATTTAAATGAGCAGGACTGTTGCACATGAACGTCTTCCGCCTGTAAATCCTCAGTGAGGAGGCTCTGACGCAGTCAGGATTTACACCTCAGCTGTTATCGAGAAAGCATGTCAGACGCTAGAAGTCAGTACTGGTGACTAATGTGAACAGGATGGATTAACTGGGCAGATCCCAGTATGAACATGTAGAACTGTGGATCACAGTGTTAACAGTGACGTCTTTACATTAATGAAGGTTAAAAAATGTGTAGTGTAATTTCAAGGTGATTATTACTGTCATTTAGTGATGGATTCTCCCAAAATGGTGTCACTGGTGAGGTAGCCTAAGCCCCACCACACACCACCCCACCCCCTCCTTGTCATTGTGTTGCATGCAGTGGAGTGACAGCAGACTCAGGAAGGGGAAAGAGCTTAACCTAGGGCAGCGCTCCTGACGAGATGAGCCATGTGTGTTAATCTGTGCTCCGTGCTTTAACTACCCGGCAGCCCAGAGCAGAGGAGCTGGAGGGGGGAAATGGATGGCAGGAAGGAGGAGGGGGGGCGGGGGCTGAGGGGGTGGGGGGATTATGCCTGTCTGTCTGTAAAAACAAGTCAAAACTAGTTAAAACTAGCTTAGCACTCACTACATGCTCACCAGCTGTAAGAGCCTTGGAGAATATTATAACGGAATGAAATCACCAACTTTTTCAGCTGGGTGAACACACTGATAGTAAACAACAACAACATTCATGACTGCAAACAACAAAAATGAATCTTCATGTAGTTACTTAAATGTTTCTATTGGTGTCAGTCACAGACTCATTCAGTATTCAGTGTTTTTGATACAACTGTACAGAAACTAGACAATTCTAGACACTTCCTTTTATCATTATTTAGTTTGAAACCAAAAAACAAATTCACATGGTTTCGTTTAATTTTTAATTCTAACCCAAAAAAGAAAAACAAAAAATCAGGTGGTCTGTTCATTTTTTGTTTCCAAAAAAAGCCAGAAAATATAATTCCAAACAAACATTTTTTTAAATAAAATTTTCTCGAACAAAAAACAAATAGACCATGTGATTTCGTTTTGGTTTATTTGATAAATCAAATAAAACCATATCAATTTGGTTTTTGGTTTCAAACTAAATAATGATAATAGGATTTGCCAAATACCAAAAACTGACCATATTTGATTGGACACCAAAAACGTTTTGGTTTTAAAACAAATAACAGATTTATGTTTTTGTTTTTTTAAATTAAATTTTTAAATTAAAAATGAATTACAGATTATCTGATGACACCCAGACTGGAAAGTGGCACCTCAGATTTATATAAATATCAGCATCACAATTTATTGATCATAATTGGAGCCAGCAGACATTTCATGACCACATCTAAGCTGAGAGCTTGTGTTACAATTTTTGAGGAGATTTGTAATTAGTAAGCAAGTCATTTTAATAAAAATGATTTATGATACTGAAAATGTCCCATTGCATACTCAGAAATAAGACACAGATGTAATTAATTATAATATTCTATACTTGTGAAATACAGTCACAAAGTGTTTATAAGAGCAGCTGTGGAGTAGAGATGTATACCTGTCTCAGACTGACCCAGAATGCAACATGCTATGATGCATGTGTCCCCTGCTGCCTACAAAATCAGCGCAGCCAACTGCAGCCAGCTTGGTGAACCCTTGTATTATTATAGAAGACACCAAAGAGACTGCTGTGATGGTGGCTGGAGGAATGAGTCGTCAGCATCATGACCAGAAGAATGAGTGTTACAGTTCAGATGATGAAGACTGCCTCATTCTTATGATTATCATTTCACACTGAGATGAATGGGCTGGCCCTGCTGGTGGCACCTTTGACCCAATCATCTGTTGCTACTGGTTATGAAACAGGTGCAGCCTGAGGGCGTCTTTTTGTGCTGTCCAAGAATAATTTGTGTCCTTATTTACTTTGGAGCCAATGTGAGCGCTTATCATAATCTGCTTAGAAACACCACATTCAAATCACCATCCACAGGGGATCATATCACACTGTGGTGTCGTGGATGATAATGCTGTAGCAGGAAAAACAGGAAGCAGATACACTGTCTCAACACAGTGGATACTGATGCTCTGAGGTGAAATTTGTCAATATGATTATTCACAGGGTGCTGGTCAGTCACCTGTGTGGATACTGATGAACATTCATGAATCACATTTACCTTATTTTTTGTGCTTAACTTAACAGCAGTTTGTAGTATAAAAGCATAAGTTTTTCAGTTCTGATTACAATACAGTTATTGGATCCCTTGAAGAAAAAAATCTATCAACAAAACCGATTAAGATTAGATGTAAAACAAGACAAAAATGAAAGTCATATAAAACAAATTATGAACAGCATAAAAGACAAACAAGAAGTTACAGTATGTACAAAGCTGAAGCGTGACAAGAGGAAATAACAATACTATCATCAGTTTCCATGACAACAACAAAGACAGCCGCCTTTCACATGCAGTTGTGGCCTACTGATTAAAGGTGTGACATAATAAACAGATCGTAAATACTTGACAATATTAAACACAGTCACTCTTCTTTGCATTTCCTGTAATAAGTAAAAACAGAAACATCTGGTCAGCTGATCCGCCTACACACTGACAAGTTTTCATTGTTATGATCAAACACCTGGAAATGGTCTGATATATCTACAGTTAATCAATAGATTTTTATCAATAGATTTTATTGGTAGGTGTAAAACTCAAGACTAACTGGGGCTCAGACACTAAACCAGTTTGTGACTACATCTCTCCATCTGTCCATGACGTCAGACTCCAGAATGAGTGAATCAGACACCAGGTCGTAGACCCACCCCACAAACAGGAAGCAAAACAAACAAACAACCATCACAAAAACAAGATACAAATAAAAAACCAGAGCAATGAAGTCAACACACGAACCTGATATTCACAGTCTTTACAGAGTAAAGTGAGAGACAGTCATTTATCCTTGTTATGGATTAAAAAGGTTCAACTTTTCACAGGAGCCACTTCTGTCGGGCAAAGTGAGGAAGTAATGTCAGCAGTCTGCTGTTTAGTGGATGGACTGAGTTTTGAGTACGTGAAGAGGAGGCAGCATAGAAAGAATGACCAGAGGTCTGTACCACGGAGCAGGATTTGAGGCTATCGAGGTAACTTCCGGTTTGACTCTGGGTTTTTAGTCCTATGACGGTAGTTCACTTGTTACTGAGGTAAATCACCATGGTAACTCCTAACCTGCTCCGGCGCAGCTTAACTTCAGAGGATCAGATCAAAACCTGTCAACAGCCAAACAACTGACCAATCAAATCACTGGAAAAACTGAGCCATTATTCCTACAGGATCCTGACAGGGACAAAAGAGTTTACAATAAAGTGATAAATAATAATGAGCAGTAGAAATAAAATATAAAAAAATCAGTGGAATAGTTTTCCTGTTTGAGTCTTTCCATGTGTCCACTCTGGTTTTAAAACAAAGCTTCTAAAAAAAATGCATAGTTTATCACGCTAAATAAATAGCCTGTATAATAACTATTATAGCTTCATTTTAATTCAACAAATATTCTTTAAACCAACAGGATTCCTGACAGTATCAATGCTTTTACTCTCTTCTTCATCACTGCAGCTCAGAGCAACATGAGGAGACTCTGTGACCACAGCTGGAAATAAAAACTAAACCTCTGATGTCTTTGATTTGAACAATGATCCACACACTGTTAATTATTTCCATGATTATAATTATGATTTATAATTTTTGAACATTTCAGTCGTTCTGACTCATCAGACATCAACTACTTCTCTCTTTTCTTTCTCTCCTCTCTGCAGCAGAAACCGTCTGACATTAACTTTAACTGTTTTATCTGCTTCACATGTTCATAACAGTTTGTTCATCATCAGACTGAAGAGGAAATAATAAATAATAAATGCTCAAATGTAATGATAATTCATGCACTTATTTACTGACTTTAATAGAAATTATATTTAGACAGTGAAACAATATTTTATTTGTATTTTTTATTCCAGTCATGATCACATTGTTCATATTTCACATTGTTGAATATTGAATATTGTTGAGTATCAGTGTTTCTTCTCATATCATATTAAGAACTTCATTCATGGTTCTGACGATGCTGCTTATAATTAATAACTCCGCCTCTTTCACATGAACGCGCTCGTAGCTGAACAGGTGAACCCAGGGATAACTGAGCCAGTTGATAACCTGCTTCGTACTACAGGTTATCAGGACGGTCAATGTTAGGTTCAGCTGAGCCAGATAACTAAAAGTTATCCTGGGTATGATGAACTTGCTTCGTAGAACAGGCCTCAGGTTACTGCAGCAATCATCTGAACAATTCTCTTTTTCTTTCTTTGAACAGGAGAGAGTTCGCTGAGCTGCTGGAGAAATATGGATCCAACGGCAGCACAGGATCAACACGCAACTCTCCCATCCAGCAAGGTAGGCCAACCCCTGCTCAGGCCTGTGTGCAGCGCATTACACACTCAGGTTTATTTCCACAAGTACTAACTGTAGTTTAATGTGGGCAGACTCTCATGATCACGCTCCTTTAAACAGTGTATTGCAAATTCTCTGAAGAAAAAGGTGGACTACTCTTCCAGGACGGACAGACATGAAAGACTTATCATGGCCAATATGGTAAAGTCACAGTATGATCATGACAAAATTACAGCTTGTAACCATGTATGAATGATCTGGAGGACGTCAAATAACTTCCTACTGCTGCCAAACGACCTTCCTCTCGTTGACAGAGGACTAAGCCTGCAGGGTAATGGAGTAAGTCGGCCTTTAAAAATGGCTTATGACAGTGCACTTGTCCATTACACAATTACGAACATCTGTTTGAGTTGGGAAGGAGGCAGCCAGCTGGTTCACATTTGTGAAAACAGGGTTTCAACACATGAGCAGTCTTGTGTGCTCTGAGCAGTGGATGGTGTTGATACATCAAAGTCCAAGTCCAGGATCAGGAAACATGGATTTAAGGCCTTCCCACTGATGCAAAGCTATCATATGTTCACACCATATGTCTCACACATAAAGACCAGGAGACATGATGTACTGTTTGTATGATGTGTGTGTACATGTGCCAGGAGCTGTACACACTCAGAAGCAGGCTGAATTCTGAACTGATTCAACCATCATCATCACCTCTGATGAAGAACACAGGCGACACTACAAGCTTCACTATGTGACAACACGTGGAAAAAAACAGATTATACTGTAGCTTTAAGCTACTGAAGAATGAGCCGTTTTAAAAAGGACTAGTGCAAAATATGCCAGTGGTTGAATGTAACTAAATACATTTACTCAAGTACTTCAGTACAGATTTGAGGTGTTTGTACTTGAGTTTTATGTATCTTTATACCTCCACTACTCCAGCTGAGGGGTGAATATTGTACTTTTTACTGCTCTGCGTTTCTCCGCCAGCTTTAGTTTTTATAATTGTTCACGTACTTCCTGTCTACTGAGAACTATGTATCTCCAAATTTAGTGACTTTGAATTTAAATGTTTCTGATGAGATGAAGGACTCAGTAAACTTTTTAAAACCCTCTTGGTTCAGATGGAAAGTGCATCGTCTCAAAGCTGTCTGTTTTTCTGAGCTCATGTTAAGTTGACCTTTTAGAGATACTTGGTTCTCACCAGCCAGAGACGCTACAAACACACAATGATCTTATAGAATATGATGCATGTTGTCACTTAAACCCAAGATTATATAAAGTAGTAAAAATGAGTTCAGCCTTAAATATCTAATTCAGAAAGCATGCAACAAAAACACACAAACCTCCAAAACAAATGCAACAGAAAACAGCGCTGCATATTGAGACAACACAACAGAAGAGCTCCAGGCCTCCACCTGTAGACTGTATATAAGCTAATGCTAATGCTTGCTACATTGCTCTTTTATAATATTGTAAAAACTACAAATGTAAAAAAGAGCACAAACCTTTTTATCTCCTTTTATCAACTTTTTATGTCGCCTATTTTTTCTTTCCTCATGTTCTCTTGTTTGGTCAAAGGTCAAAGGTCCAGTCGTAGGTCTGGTCTCTCTGGTCGAAGCTCATGCTTATGGTCAAGTTGTTCCACTTAGCACTCCCCCTAGAGGCCTGGAGCTGTTCCGTTGTGTTGTCTGAATATGCAGCGCTTTCTTCTGTTGTAATTGTTTTGGGGGTTTGTGTGTTTTTGTTGTTGCATCGTTTCTGTATTTGCAGCATGTTTGTTTGTTCATGTTTTTGTTCTGTCTTCCTGCAGCTCGTTTTTTCATTTGCAGCACATTTGCGTTCATGTGTTTGTTTTGTATTTTCATATTAGGTGTTTTTGAATCTGTATCTTTTCTGAATTTGCAGCTCGTTTCTCCTTATGGAAGTGTTTTGAGCGTGTTTTCTCTTGCCAGCCACAATATCACTGAGAGGGAGAGAAATAGAGAGAGAGAAAAAAATCCCAGTTGGTTATGTATTGGTTAGGTATTGATGTTTTTTTCTTTAGGGCCTTGGCAGAAAACAGGTAGGGTGGGGTAGGAGGTTGGGGTGGGGGAGTCTCCACCATCCACAGTTGGGAAAGGCATGCAGTACTGGGGAGGTGGAAGGTGGAAGGTGTTTTTATTAGTTATAGTCCAGTAATACAGGGGTGCAGCACAGGTAGATGGGACGTGTTTTGTATTGTTGTCATGCTCCAGAGCCTTGAGAGGAAGCTGACAACACTGAGCACTTGATACTTTAACTACACTTTGCTGATAACACTTGAGTACGGTTTTGAATATATACCAAAGGTGTTTTCTCAAGTCCCATGAACTGGACCTGATATTAAACATTACAGAGTCATGGTGCACTCACATAATGAGTGTTCACTCAGAAGCAGGATCTATGTGCAGCACCTCTTTTCAGCCTTTTCAACTAACTCACTATATGAAGGAATCCATGACATCTCTGTACACTGCTGAACTGCACCCTGCACCCTGCACCACCACCCCCATCCCCCACTATGAAACTTACCTTTGATTCTAAGGACAGGACAGAAGCAGTGGATAAAAAAAAGTCTGGAGAATATGTGTGCAGCTCTGCAGTTGGTTCGGTCAGCATGTTGGGTATTATTCAGCACTTACAGTCACTCAGGCTTAAACGTTTGACAGGACGATGCATGTTTTTCAGTGGAGAGACGCAGTGCTGCTGGAGCTGCAGGGAACTGATGAGAGCCCTCATCAAATAACAGCATCATTGGGGGTGTCCGAGGTCATCTCTTTTTTTGGGTTGAATCAGGAGCCACTCTTCTTCTGCGATTGTGTCAGTTCTCAGTGATATGTCTGTTCTTTTCCACCTGCTTAATTTATGTTCCACTGCCCTATTCGTCTTTTCATCAGCATATACAAATTCATAGTGACAGTCAGCAGCAGCATGCCAATAAAGAATCAACATAAGGCACTGGAGGATGGTGTACAGCAGTGGAATATAAGTAACATATCATTGTCTTGTGACACAACACTAAAACAAGAAGCTGTACCATCAGTCACTTCAGTTAAACATCTTTACTAATCTCTGTTTTGTGTTTCATGTTCTGTTGTGACAATCCAAGGTGGTCGCTACCTGGACAGCACATCATCCGGCTCCTCGTCTCGCTCCCAGAGTCCTCTGTTGCTGAGCCCAGCAGGATCTCAGAACATGTACAACAACAGTGGGCCCATGCTGCGCTCCCTCAGGTAAGAGTTAATACATTAACCATCACACTGCTCTATTGTTGTTGTGAGACAAGTCATGACCAGCAAATACTCACACAAATCACAGATTTACAAACTGATGTTTAGATTTGCATCTTTATTTCTCCTGCCAGCTGAGCAGCTGAGACATCACATTTCACATAATCCAAACCCAGACCCTGTGCACAGCTGGAGCAGGATGTGTGCTCACAGGATATGAAGCGCATCAACAATCAAAGTTGTAAAATGGAAACATTCATTTCAACAGCAGCAGTGAAAGCTGAGGTCAATCAGGCCATTATAAAATGTCTGGTGAATGTTTTTACCCACGCTGGGGTTCTCTCCCTTCCCACACTCCTGTGGTACTTTGTGGTGCCTCCAGTGGCCAGTCCACACTTTGAGATCTTCTGCCAAGTTTGACTGTGTTTTGTACTGTGAAATGAAATTTCACCATTCTCAATACCAAATTTGATACCACAACAAAAACACACACCTCCCTATAATCAGTGTACAGCAGCCGTTTAAACTTGCTTATAGACCCATGGCATGAAAAAATGTATTTAAAAGTCACTGTTATATTCTGACAGACTGACTGACTGTAGCTGCTAATGTTGTGACGACCCAGCTCACATTATGAGCTGTAGCCACGTAAGCTAATGTTAGCCTAAACAATGTAACACTATCCTCTGTGAACGTTGTGTGTGGAACGTTGCTACTAAACATCATCATCCAGGGCTGGCAAATGAAGCCAACACGGAAGAACCAAAACCTGCAGTTCCTAAAAATGACCACTAGAGTCGGGCTCCATCAGTGAGTCAATCCCCATAGACTCCAATGTTAAAATGTCCAACTTTACAGCAGAAATAAACATGTTTACAGCCTGGTACAAAAACAGATTTTGTCTCTAGAGCTAATTTCCTTCTTCATGACAACTGTTTATATAACTCACCTGTTTACATTTTATTAAGACTTAAAGTTATGGAGAATTGAGGTTGTGGTCTCTTTGAGTAACAAGTGGGTGAGTGTATACTTGCCACAAACCATCATGCACCAAAGTCTCAGCTCCACACACCCCTCCTCTTTGCCCATTTTTGGATTAGCTGGGAGTTAGGGTTGGAGTCAGACACTGCCAAGATGGCTACGGTGGCGCAGCTCACTCTGAGCTTCAAAACCGCTCTTCAGAAACCTGTGGGTGACATCACAGAGGCTACGTCCATCTTTACTTACAGTCTATGGCAGATGTCAGCTATCACAATTCACACACAGTAACAGGAACATTCAGGACATGAACATGTTGACAACATGTTGTTGATATAAAGTGAACAACTGAGACTCACTTAGACATCAGATCTGTTCAGAGTTCAGGATGTCTGAGCTGTTTCCTCCTCTGACACCATTCACATACTGACTGTTGGTCATCTACAACTTAACTAACAATCCATGTCAAATACTAAATATTTCCAGACAACATCAACATCTACGGTTCTATCAGTATTTATGATACTGTAGAAAAACAAGTACCGTCAGAATTTCAGAATTTTCTTCGACTTGGTAACAAAGTGTCGGTTCTTGTGACATCCCTACACTGTGTACCCCCTACCTACTCAGAGGAAGTCAACAGTGCAGCACTAATACTGCCCCCATGACCTAGTTATGAGTTAAGTGGGACAAATACAGTGTAAAAATGAACCTGTCTTTGCTGCTCGGTAGCAAAACATGAAACTGAAACAGTTTGTTGAAGATGTCTTTGGTGTTTCCACTCTCCAGCCTCTGATTATTTAGTAACCAATGTACATGCTAATACAGATACATCTACGATAAGCTAATATTATCCAAAGTATCACTTAAATTCTTCTTGGTTGTAATGCCATGAAGGCATGATAAAGGTTGTTCTCAGTGGTTGTGTGTCTCTGTGTTCTCATTGGTTGTGTATCTTTGTTTTCAGTGGTTGTGTGTCTATATTTTCAGTGGCTGTGTGTGACAGTTTCCCCTGCCACTGTTGACACACCACACCAGCTCCCCACACTACCATACAACTCACATGCCACATGTTAGCCAGGTAGCTTGCTACTGCTAGTTGGTGGGTGCACACACTAAACTACATTTAACACCTTAGCAAGTTCCCTGTGCTATTTTTCTTTCCTATAATACAAACACACGTTTTGAGTTGCACACACGCACGCACACACACACAGACACCCTTTTTAGTTCATTTTTTTTTATTGTTTAAAGGTTGAAGGCCATTGTTGAAAATTAATTTTGTTTCTAAGTCTTACCACAGCACTTCCTGGTTCCGGGCAGTGTCAAAGGACCTGAGCATGGCGTCGAGCTGGCTTTTGTAGTGCCTGAGGGAATTAGGAGCATGCTCAGTCCATCCCACTGCACCGTGCCAGTTGATGGGGATGTTGGATGTGGTTGTTTCTGTGTCCCTAGTTTGGGATATTGGGTGAATTCTGTGAAGATGCCTGTAATGTGTGTGTTGAAAAATGTAAATATATTATTGTACAGGTTTCTGAGATGAGAAACGGCCTGTGGCCCCCAATTGATTACTTATTTAATTCCATTAGAAGATGGTATGGTCCAGGGGGAGGGGCCTATTCTATAAAATGGAGGGAGGTCTGCACTGCCGGGGGGCAGTTAGAGGAGAGCTGTGCAGCTGTGCAGACTGATTGAGGGCTGCATTTTCATGTTGTTTTGGGATTGTCTGGGAAAAGGACAATAAAATCTTTAATTTTTTTTGCACTGAACTGACTTTGTCATGCTTCCTGTCATCGACATTTACGATTAAAGTACAGTTTTCCAGTCAGCCTTTCGCCAACCTACCCTCACTCAGGCCAGAGTGTGACACTGTGTATCTCTGTGTTCTCAGTGGTTGTGTGTCTGTATTCTCAGTGGTTGTGTGTCTCTGTTCTCAGTGGTTGTGTGTCTCTGCTCTCAGTGGTTGTGTGTCTCTGTGTTCTCAGTGGTTGTGTGTCTCTGTGTTCTCGGTGGTTGTGTGTCTCTGTTCTCAGTGGTTGTGTGTCTCTGCTCTCAGTGGTTGTGTGTCTCTGTGTTCTCAGTGGTTGTGTGTCTCTGTGTTCTCGGTGGTTGTGTGTCTCTGTTCTCAGTGGTTGTGTGTCTCTGCTCTCAGTGGTTGTGTGTCTCTGTGTTCTCAGTGGTTGTGTGTCTCTGTGTTCTCGGTGGTTGTGTGTCTCTGTTCTCAGTGGTTGTGTGTCTCTGCTCTCAGTGGTTGTGTGTCTCTGTGTTCTCAGTGGTTGTGTGTCTCTGTGTTCTCGGTGGTTGTGTGTCTCTGTTCTCAGTGGTTGTGTGTCTCTGTGTTCTCGGTGGTTGTGTGTCTCTGTTCTCAGTGGTTGTGTGTCTCTGTGTTTTCAGTGGTTGTGTGTCTGTGTTCTCAGTGGTTGTGTATCTCTGTGTTCTCTGTGGTTGTGTGTGTCTGTGTTCTCAGTGGTTGTGTCTGTGTTTTCAGTGGTTGTGTGTCTCTGTGTTCTCAGTGGTTGTGTGTCTCTGTGTTCTCGGTGGTTGTGTGTCTCTGTTCTCAGTGGTTGTGTGTCTCTGTGTTTTCAGTGGTTGCGTGTCTGTGTTCTCAGTGGTTATGTATCTCTGTGTTCTCTGTGGTTGAGTGTGTCTGTGTTTTCAGTGGTTGTGTGTCTGTGTTTTCAGTGGTTGTGTATCTCTGTGTTCTCTGTGGTTGTGTGTGTCTGTGTTCTCAGCGGCTGTGTGCCTCTGTCTTCTCAGTGGTTGTGTATCTCTTGTGTTGTCAGTCATCCAGGTGAAGGAGTGATCCAGCTCCTCTCAGTGGCGCGCTCCAGCAGTTTCGGCATCACCATTGGAGGAGGCTCCAACAAGCCGGATGGCCCCGCAGTCTTCATCCAGGAGGTGCTGTCTGGAGGAGACTGTCACCGGGTGAGAAGCTTCAAACACACACAGTAAAATGAAAACTGCAGATACTGAATGAGATGAGGGGTGAAATGAAGGGAAGAAATGTTTCCTTGAACCACAGCACAATGCGTTAATTGTGTAAATATGTAAACAATGAATAAATGAAGGCAGGTCTGAAAATATCAACATTAATCATGGATGATATTTGGGGATGATTTTAGGGGTTTTTACAAAATCAGGAGTTTATTTGTCAAGCTGCAGTTATTGAGCTTTGTCCTCTGGAGGAAGAAAAGCATCTTCACAATCATCACTGACATATATAGATTATCTATGTTAACATGTTGGTAAACAGTTGACCACACATTCTCATGGACTATCACTGATGGGTTCTCATAACGTCTGACCCTACATTGTGTTGGTAATGTCTCCATTGTAACAGCCACATTTCTGACTGAAGCTGTATTTCAGGAATAAAACATGATTTATTAAAACTGATTTCAAATCAGATGTCAGATGTCTTCAGTCACAGTATGATGACAACAGCACATTGAGCTCAGTGTGCTCACTGTGGCCCCGGAGGCCTGACTGAAGGAGCTCGAGGTACCTGGATGAAACATAACTGAGATGGATGCAGTGCAGCAGTGAAGGACTGCAAACACAATGGAGGGAGGCAGAAGAGAGAGAGGGATGAAGAAGGGAATAAAAAAGTGCATACACTGCACTCTCACTGATCCTGTTTCTGTGTGTAGTTGTCTAACATGGACACATACTGGTCACACATACTGTATGTCCAGACAGAGGACCTCATGTGTCTCATACTGATAGTGTTAATTTCCAGTTTTAGTCTCAGTCTTTAAATGGAAATGTGTAACAAGAGCTGAAAGGAACATTAAGAAAGTTACATCAACTCAAGGTAATGTGAACTTTAACAAGGGTAATGTCATCACTGCAACTGAAACTGAAAGTAACGTTAACTGAACGTTGCGTTAACGTTAGCTTACCATTTGCTTGCCTTCATTTCTTACTTTATTCCAGCTGTTTGGTTGCTGCTGTTTGTTCAGATTGCAGCTGAATTTAATTAATACATTTGTGACAGGTGACATTAGTACAGTGGCCCTGAGAGCTCAACGCAAAAAAACATCTTCATCAATTTGACAACACGTGCTGCAATTACTCACAACACAACAGAAGTGGCTGGGACTTGTTCATTGCCCAATTGTGACTTTTGAGTTAGGGTTAAGTTAAAAGCAAGCAACAGTGAGAGGTGTCAAATTGATGAAGATGTTTTCTGAAGTTGCTTGTTTGTGTTTTGTCTGTTTGCATGTGTTTTCTTAATTTGCAGTGCTTTGAGCTCTCCAGGCCACCATACATTAGCTCCCGTCACTGACTGAGACATAATGAAGTGCAACATGCTGCTGGTTAGTTCAGCAGCTCAAGCACCAAAAGGACCTTCTGAAAAAGTATGTTTGGGGAACAGATTATGCATTTTTACCAGTTAGTTAGTTCACATGTCCATAATCTTTCATGCTATTTTATCTTATTGTCTTATTTTTATTTATTGGCAAAAGTCATAGTATGTTTCCTCACAATGTTAGTTTTCAAGTTTTTTTTTATTAGTTTTTGTCTTGTTTTATTTGTGGAAAAACATTTGTCAAGAAACATTTTTTACGATCACATGTTTTGTGTGAATGGGTGAATGTGGTTTGTAGTGTATATCACACTGGGAGGACTCGTGGGGAGCAGCAGTTCAGCAGTTCAATAGTAAAGGCAGGAGCCAGGCCATGAAGTACTTCAAATTTACCACTTGTTAACCAGTGAGGACAGAACAGGGCTGATGTGATTATGTGCTGGTGAATGACAGACCAGTGGGAACTTTCTGACGTCTTTTGCTCTTCCAGCAAAGAAGAATTTTAACACTGGTGCAAATTCTTCTCCGTGCAATTCAATTTTTAATTGTCTTAGTTCCATCTTTGCATCAAAGAAAAAGAGCCAGTTCTCTTTGTCATCAACACTTTCACTGAATGAAAAATGTGATGTTGATAAAGGTGGCAATCTGGAACTATAGCCATTCCTCATCTTTTTAGCAAAACTCAAAAATCTGAAAGCAACAAACGGAAAGTAGTTCAGTTTTGTTCAAAGGCTGATCTGCAGTCAGCTTAAACAGCACTAGACACATTCAGTAGAAGCGATGCCCACAGCTGCTGGAGTAAAGCTGCAGAATCATCATCTAAGAGTGTGTGCATTTATGATAAATCCTCTCTACAGTAGGCCAGATCAGTAGTGCAGTGATCTCACATATACATTTGTGTATATGCAAATACAACTGCATGTCATCAAGCTAATACTGCACCAGGGTCTTTACTCTATCCTAACATGCCTCTGCTTGATGCAGGTTTTCTGAAACTGTGCTGCAGTTTACAACCTTGTCGTATTATTGTGCAGTAAATTGTGATACTGTCACGTTTAAGGGAAAAACTGAATCCAAATGCAAACATCGAAAAAGGGGGTTGGAGGAAAAAGCTATTTAAATAACAAAAAGTGACTTACTTACAGAACTCAATCCAAAATCCTGGTAAAACCCAGGAGCAAAACTGAAACACTAGTGAAACTAATTGGGAAAAAAATAGAAGCAAAACACGAGCAAAATACAGACATAACATTGGCGGGAAACAGGACGAAGACAAGAAGTAAAATAACCACAAGGCACACAAGGGAAGTATTTTCAAAATATAACAGGAAAGCAACCAAAAGTCCAAACATAAAGAGTCCATCAGGGCAGACCATGATAGAAACTGTGTAAAAGTCAGGGAGGACAATGATTGTTATGTAGGTCTGCACAATGAATAGAAATATAATCGAAATCACAATATGGCCAAGGGCAATATCCAATTAACAGAAGCTGTAATTTTCTTGATAAAGCTAAAATGTGTCACATGTTGTTCATTGTTAGCACCATAAGTGTTGTGGTGCTACAGAGACACCCCATCATCATATTCTCCAGACATAAAGGAAACATGTTTGTTTGGTACAAGACTCAACAAAAATCATATCATCATCATTTTTATTTTGTTTTCAGTTCAAATTAAATGAAAAAATGATAATTCCAACTGAAATTGCAATCACAATATGATTTTTTTTGCAAATCGTGCAGCTCTAATTGTCATCATGTATAATTGTCCATGGTAATGGTGATAATGATCTTTAGGAGGAGAAAGCTGGATTTTGATAAACAGGTTTTATTTTGGGAAACATTTTCCTCCGATGAAAGTTTCCCAGTTGAGGGATCCTCCAAAGGATGAAACTAATAATATGATAATACTATAAGAAATAATATCAGCATCACAATACAGCACATTTCTGCTCTCTGCCAAACAGCCCTCCTTGTTTCCCTTAAACACAGAATATGTACTGAGCGTCTCTGTTATCTGTGGAGTCACCTTGACTGCCTGGAGGAAATTACCATAAAGTGACAAATACAGTCCTGTCAGCTCATTAAACTGTATAATATTTAGGAATTTATGCTGGATTAGAGAATATTAAACACTGCCTGAATATTTGGTGGCATTTGTGTTGCTTTGGTGTCAGAGAAATCCCAGAGTCCCCAAACAGACAAACTACACCAAGTGTGAAGGTCAGCCGTCAAGCTAGGACTCTTCCAGGGGCATCACCCTGCTGCTGCTCCACTAGCCCCTCCCCCCACCCCCACCCCCTCCTGCATAATGTTAGATACGTACATGCTACAAGAGCAGTAGTCCCTGCCTCTCACTCATTTATAGTTTATTGAGTAATTACTTAATTAGCACAGTGGTCTTTATCACACAACTCAAATCCACACTCCCGCATTTGGTGTTCTAGTGAGTATTTACTACTAGTACTACTAAACCACAGTGGGTGTGTTTTCATGCTGATGAAGGAACATCCCAGTGATGTGTTTAATAGTTTCTGGACAACAATGGAGATCTATTGCAAAGAGGAATACCATATGCAAATTCAGTTTATTGTTATTGTTTTATTCTTTTTGTGACATTTGTTCACAGAATGAAAAATATACATCATCAGCAGATGTATATTTTAATCACTGTTTCATTTCACATCCAGTTGCTTGTTCTCAGAGTGGCTGCTAGCCTGGTACTGAAGGAACTAACTGAGGAATGCACAGGTGAGGGTTGAGAAAAACAGTAAATGTTGAATATATATATATATATATACAGGAAGCTGCTGGTAAACATGATGGACGAGCTCTGCAGCCTCACCGAGTGTCAGAGGGAACATTCAGCCATTTATGCTGAAAAAACCAGGCAACAAGTCATACTGCAGTCATACTGGATACTGCAGCCTCATATCCTCACTGGAGGCCTGTACGATGCTCTGTATGGTGAGGGAGACGTGGTAAACGTGAGGGCTGCATCAGGACGTTACGCTGGCTGTGCCATGCAGCTGCTGTCAGAGTAGATCAGGCTGAAACACAGTTCACTGTTAGAGGATAATTGTGGTTTATTGCAGTCTTTTTTTGGTATTGTTTTGGCTACAGTCATTCTAGTTCATGCAGAGCACTGAAGTGTAGCAAGCATTTGCTGATCAGCATTGTTTCATTCATGCTTCACCAGCACCACGACAGTCAGAGCTGGGGGCGTCATGTCTTCATGTTCTACGTCTGTCCCATTCCAAGGGAATAGAAAATGTACTATTATCATTATTATTATTATTATTAATATTATTATTATTAGTAGTAGTAGTTGTTGCACTGCTCAAACAAATTAAGGGAACACAATATAATCATCACAGTATAACACCAAGTCAGTTAAACTTCAGGGATCTCAATCTGTCCATTTAGGAAGCACAAGTGATTGTGAATCAGTTTCACCTGCTTTGGTGCAAATGAAAGTGACAACAGGTGCAATGGAGAGGCCAAACCAAGACATCCCCCAAAAAGGAAATGGTTTTACATGTGGTGGCCACAGACAATTGCTCTCTCCTGATCCTTCCTGACTGATTCTTCTCTAGTTCTGTGTTTTGCTAGTGTC